GTTAGTATCACCAACCAGCTGACGGTTCTTTGGCTCAGTTCAGACAGAAATCAAGATTCGGCAGAGTGTAGCTCTTTTAGCGGTCACAGCCCTGGAGCTCTGGTGCCCGTGGCTATGAGCTCATAGGGACCTCATAGCTCTCCTGGCAGCTGGACCCAAGTAGCTACTGGCAGCACAGAGCAACTCTTCCAGTGAGCAGTGTGGGTGACTCCCAGCAATTCTCCACCACTCTCCATGTCTCTGGCTGTTAGCTGCTCTCGGGGCCCCCAGCCCCAGCTGCTGCCATTTCTGGGTCCAGTAGTCTTTGGTGTTACCCATTCTCAGTGCACAAGTTCACCTTGCTCTACTCAGGATAGAAATCATACAGACAGAAATTGCCACCTGCAAGAAGCTTTACTAGGATTCGTGGAGTAGCATAAGAGGGAAGAGTGCACACACTGGCCCACAAAGGCGCGGGGAAAGTTGTTTATATGTAATGAAATGGGGGCCCAGCACAGGCGCAGTGTCAGCCTCTCTTTAGGGGAGGCACTCCTTGCAGATTTGGTCAGGGATGGCCGAAGGGGCTCATTGGGCGCAGTCAAAGTGAGTACCTGCTGGAGTTGCTGTGAGGTGTCCAGCATATTCATGGCCAACTGCAAGCTGTGTGGGGCAGTCATGGAAGAAAGAAGAAAAATAAATAGAAGTTTCTCTTGAGGAGCACCAGGGCCACGTCTTCTATCTCAAAGTGTGATTTTTCCAGATCAGAGGATGAGAAGGTGAGGCTCTGAGTCACATTTAAGGCTTCTACAAAGTCTTGTGGGAGCTTGATCCTAGTCACAAAGAGGAGGCCCTGTTTGCTTCTCCTTTGGCCCATGTTCTCTCGTGATGGGGAGAAGTTTGTATAGTCCTGCCCTTCTGTGCTGCCTCTTGTCTCTGCCTCCTGTCTTTGTCTGTTTTTTTTTGTTCTTAGAATAGAATACCTGAGCCTGAATGGTTGATGAAGAAATGAGATTTATTTTGACTCAGTTCTGGATACTGAAAGCATGGTGCCAGAATCTGCTCTGCTTCTGTTGAGGGCTTCCTGCTGCTATTCAGCTCATCACAGAAAGCACGGAGGCAAGTGAGTGTGTGTGGAAGGGACAAAACAGAGGGGCAGCCTTCCTTTATAAGCACGCACTCTCTTGGTAACTAACCCAGTCCACAGCGAGCAAGAACTCATTCCCTTGAGAAAAGCATTTGGGCTCCATCCCGGTGACCCAGGGTCTTCTCACTAGGCTTCACCTCCCAATCCTGATGCATGGAGGAAACGAAGTTATAGCTCATGAACCTTTGGGCAACACTTTCAAACCACAGCATCTTCCTGTGAAACTCTGACTCCCACACTCTCCGCATCACTCCCAAGTCCTAGACAAATTTACCTGCTTGTTGAATTGCTCTCTTTAGTAAGAGGCGACCTGTTTGGGGAAAGTAGTCTAGCGCCAGGACAGAAGGCTGACCCAAATGTGCTACATTTTGATATGAAGGAATGAATCTTTAATAGTGGCATTTCAGACATAAGTCAGAAGAGGAGATGTGATGGTATACAGATTAAAAATGACCTGGTCTGCCTTTCTACCTGGTCTTGCTACTAAATGGAAAAAATTGATTGTGGAAAACAAATTAATAATGGAAAGAAAGCAAGATTATATCAAAGACAACACATATCAGTGAGTCAGCATCATTGGCAGTTCCAGAATTTGTGTAGTTGAAGGCAATAGGAGCCCAACTGAAAGTCAGGCTTGAAGGTACTTTTTTTTTTTTTTTATCGGTACCAGGGATTGAACTCATGACTGCCTGCTTGCAAGGCAGGCACTTGCTTATGCCTCTGAGCTAAATCCCCAGCCCCACTTGAAGGTACTTTTAAATGACCTTTTACTGAAAAATTTGGTTAAAATGTTAACTATCACTGAAGGATGCTAAACCATTTCCCAACTTTCCTGATGTGATATCAGCTAAATTTGCAGGCAGGTAACATATTATTGAATATCTTAATTTTGCAGCATTCATTAAATCTTTTTTGCAACATAAATATGCAATTTTTCATATATAATATTGTATGAACACCTTTATTCATTTGGAAACATGAGCTGGAGTGGTGGAAATCATAACATTTTAATGACATGAACACATTATTACTAAGTAGGAGTGTATTAGGCCATTTTCAATGACTATAACAAAATTCCTGGACCTGGGTTATTTTATAATGAAGTGGTTTATTTAGCACATACCTTTGGGGCTACAAATTCATGATCACGCACCCCTATCAACTCAGGCTTTAGTGAGGGCCCTGTGTGCATGTCATCATAGTGGCTGCCATTACCACATTGGGGCACGTAGGCGAGGAGAGGCCACAAGGTGAGACAGGATGCCCAAAAGATTCAGGGTCAGGCTCACTCTTGGGAAACAGTGTCTCCCAAGAACTTATGAGGAGCCAGCCTGGGGTACACAGTGAGCTCAAGGCCAAGCCTGCACTACAAAGTGAGAACTTGTCTCAAAAAAACCAAACAAAAACATCTAAAACCAAACAAACAAACAACTAATAGATGGTCCCACAAGAATAACATCAATTCCTTCCATGAGCACTGTTCCCCTATGATGTAACTACTTCCCAGTCACCTCCACCTCAAATACTCTATGCCAACTTCCAACACAGCCACAAAGACCTAAGCTCTTGACACAGGAACACTTATGGATATACTCAGTCCATCTCCAAACCATGGTAAGGAGAAAATAGAAATCACTTCCTTTTTTTATATAGTCTAATCATGAAGATTTTGGGGAAGAAACCTTAGGAATTTTTCTCAGATCCAAAATCATCACACTTATTTTACACAGGCTTGTAAACAGAGCCATCCGATCATTTCATTTATATCCATCCATGTACTTTATATAGACACAGAAAGTTTTATTACACTCTGAAATATAGTCACCTATGTACAGGAGCTGGGCAAGAAACACAATGTACCTTGCAGTATGACCCACTAAAAGTATATATATTCACATTCTTTTGATCTGTGTACTCCACATACACACACTGTGGTAACAAAACATAATAGCTGATGTAGGAAAAGAGATCAATCAGAAAGGGACCCTATTTTTATAATTTCTACCACAAAAAGGACCATTAGCTTGGGAGCCACACGAGGTAGTATACTACTTGTAATTCCAGATACTCAGGAGGCTGATGCAGGAGGATCACAAGCTGAGCACAGCATGGACAATCTAACAAGACCTTGTCTCAAAGTATATTAAAAATAACTCAAAAAGGGCTGTGGTTGTGTCTCAGTGTGAAGATCTTAGATTCAGTCACCAGTACTACCAAAGAAAATCCCTCCTTCCACAAGTATTGAAAGTCCAAAGCCCGCTGGTTGATTTCTGTCAGTTACCTAGGAACATTCTTGTTCTGCTTCTACCAATTTAGCCCAGTTTAGGCATCATCATGTCATTTCTCTGCCGGGCTTCTGTTTTTCACTTGTTGACTTGCCTGTAAAATTTTCCTCAGTATTCCCAAAAGTTCATGGAAATGACAGAGTTTTAGCAAACTTGATCTAAGTTTTAGGGAAGTGGAGAAATTCCACTTTCTGGGAAGAACTGCAGCACAGTTATATCAACAGAAGAAAAATAACCGCAGAGAGCCAGATGTCCAGCTCCACTCCTGTAATCTCATCCCTCTGGGGAGCTGAGACAGAAGAATTACAAATGAGAAAGCAAGCAAGTAAACAAACGTAAACTTTGGGGGTGATTATAAAGGAGTCCTATTTATTATAATCCATTTGACCCCATCTTCAGAGGCCTTTTCATTAATTCGGCCCACTGTCTTTCTTCCTCCTTCACTTTCCATTCCTGCCCTCTTCTGTTATTGTCAGACCACTCCAAATTCTTGTCTTTGTTCTTTGATGTCTATCCTAAACTCAGGGCTGTGTGTTGTGTTTGTAATGCTTACCCAAATCTATTTTATTATTTATTTAGGACAGGGAATCGAACTCAGGACCTTGCACTTGTCAGGCTGGTGTTTACACTGCTGAGCTATATCCTCGGCCCTATTTTTTAAGCCAAGTCTGTAAGAGTGCTCAACAGAGGCGGAGGTGATGTGTGAGGTTTCTTCCTTAAGACCCCTCCTAAACAGTTTTTAAAATTTAGTTACAAAAAGTTATTGAGGTTTTGTTTATTCAGTAAAGGGATTACAGTGTATTTATGTCTTACCTATTTGGGAGGAAACATTGTATAATTTAGACAAAAAAGAAATAATCAACTTTCACCTGCTTTTCACTGGAATGCACAGGAAATGAACCCTTCCTGGAAGAGCACTGTGCATGCAGCATTGCAGGGCCGAGCTCCTATGTATTATCCCTCACCAAGTTACCGAGCACCCATCCAGCATACACTACCCTGACCAGTTCCACCTGGGAGACCCCTGGGCCGCTCAGCACTCTGCATTGACAGAAACCCAAAGCCTCCGACTGCTCTGCTCTATGCGAGGACGCAGCTCCCACCACTTGCTTTGCTGTTGCAAACACAGGCTTTTACAAGACCGCGTGTGTGAGGATGCTTTGTCTTTAATGATCATGCCTGATCTTCTTGGGCTAAAGGCTTGGATCCGGATGCGATTCAACCAAAGTATGAGGGCATTCAAATCATTTTTCTAGTTTTTTCTCATTTCCCAAATGAAGAGAAAAACACCACTGAAAAAGAGCAGGGGCCTACAATTCGAGGTAACTCAGCCTCTCAGGAGCTCTGAATACACAAATACTGTAATTGTAAGACCCCAGTTGCTACGAGAAACCAGGGCGACCCAGCTGTGCCTGGAAAGGCACAGTCCATGAGTCTATGGGGCGTGGACTCGTTCGCATGTCCCCACTCTGGTCCGTAAGACCCACAGTCGCAGTCTACTCCGGAAGTACTCAGCTCTGCCAAGAACACCAAGCGGAAGGGGGCGGGGCTAAAGCACGCACGCGAAGTCCCGCCTCCATGACGTCTAGAGACGCGACGCGTCGCCACGCAATGCAAACTGGGAAAAGGGGCCGACTCCGCTAGTTCCGTCCGGAAAACGACTGCGGCGGCTCCCTCGGGCTGTGGGCGATGGGCGTTGGGCGCGCAGGCCGGCGCTAGCTAGGCGGCCGGCGCACGGTGAGTGCAGGCCTGGCCTCTGGCCCCTCTTCCCGGGGAAGTCGTCCGCAGTGGCCCCGCTGTCCTTTCGCCGATTGCTGGGCACCGGAGCCCAGCCCTGTCCACGGAGAGGGGTGGGACCACCCTGGACTGGCTGATTGGGGAGGACCGGCCCGGCCTCCAGGCGTCCCCGCTGCCTCCTTGGGGCTGCCCGGAGAATTTCGCGTGGTTTTCTCCGCTTAGAAGGTGGCCCTGCCGTCCCTCTTTCTCGTGGACACTCGCACCCGACTTTGACCTCTTTCCCCATACTTCCTTTTTCTGATTTTCTGGTGTCTTTTTATAATCCCAGGCCTTGTTGCAACTCTTACCAGTATTTCCCAATTCATCCTGTTCCTCAGAGAGCGACTTTTCTCTTCTGAAATGTGCCTTCTGTCTTAGAGTTGTGGCGCGGACAACTTAATATCATCCCTGCTATACCGAGGAAATTATCAGAATCGTGAATCGCAGTAATGAGCATTTACACCTAAAGCTGCAGACCACGCTTCTTGCCTCTAGTTAATCCTGTGACCTTGAACAAGTCACTAAATCGGGATATTTACTTGACTCAGAGGTGTTGGAGCGCCTAGGGAATTTAGTATTTGTTAAGAGCTGTAAGTTTCAGAAGAAAGGAATGCCTTGCTAAAGGATGTTACACATTTTTGAGCCTTTATACCATCCTTAGTATTGTGGGTATCCTTCTCTATTAAACATGCCAAATGATATTTGTTAAGAAGTGTGCCTTTTGTATGCTTGCTGTGTGGCTCTGCTACATCAGCAAATTTTGCCTTGAAGCCGATTTCTAGGGTTCATTATTGAACGTCATTCACAATACATTTACATAGTTTACCATCATTACAGTAGAGTGCCAGAAAGGTGCCTGGTACGTCCTTGTCATGCTGGTATGACTGTTAGAAATATATATTCTTGGGCCAGGGGTTTATCTCAGTGGCGTAAATGCCTGGGTGGCAAACACGAGGTCCTGAGTTCAGTCCCTGGTACAAAAACAAAAAACACTGCCACCAACAACGACAGGAGCCATCCGGTCCAGAAAGAAGTATTTATTCCTGTGGCAACAAAGTGCAAAATTAGGTAGTAAAAGGAAAAAAAAACCATGTCAGTGAAATTTTGCACATAGACATGTATTCTTTGAGAAAACAGTACATAAGATAAGCTAAAAAAATGTTTCTAAGGTGTCTGTAGTATTTAATTTAAAAATATATTTAGTTGAGTTTTTCTAATTCTTATGGGTATTTGTTTATTGATGAGAACGTAATGGAAAGGAACCACAAAATACATGGCTTGGTAAAGTAAGACATTTAGAGAAAATCAGTATATCAAACTTTTTAAAAGTGAAACATAGAATATTATGAAGTTTTCAACATGGAAGTACACCCTTGTTTTGTAGAAATAAAAGATTATTTAAATGTGTTGCTAGTTGAATTAGATATAACTATGGAAATGTTTTTTAAATTTCATTTTGTTTTTTTGAGACAGGGTCTGGTTGTGTAGCTCAAGTTGGTGAACTCGCTGTGTACCTGGGCTGGCTTCAAGGTCATGGCAAACTGTCTAACCTTCCTGAGTGCTGGGATAACGAGTGTGCATGCCTAGTTTTGGTTTTTTTTTTTTTTTTGTAATGGGGATCTAACTCACTATCTTGCGCTTGCCAGGCAGGCACTTACGCCACTGAGCTAAATCCCTGGCCACTCCATGCCTAGTTTTAAGAAAGCATTTAAAAAATATTTTATGTCCCAACTATTCAGGAGGCTGAAGCAGGAAGATTGCTTGAACCCAGAAATTAGAGGCCAGCCTGGGCAACATGTTGAAGTCCTGTACAAAAAAAAAGGAAAAGAAAAGAAATGTTACTGTTATCTCTGTTACTTATCAGTATGTAACAAATCACTCTGGAGAAACAGTGGAAAACAAAATGAAATTAAAATGACAGTTTAGGGCCAGGGATATAGATAGCTCAGTGACGTAGCGCCTGCCTGGCAAGTGCAAGGCTGTGAGTTTGATTCCCAGTACCTAAATAAATAAATAAATAAATAGCAATTTGGTATCCCCGCTGGCTTACCTAGGTTCTCAGTTAAGGTTTCACACATTTGTGTTCAGATAAGCAGCTGAGGTGGGAGTTATCTTAAGGCTCAGCCGGCCTGGACCCTGGGAAGTCTTATGGATGGCAGTTGATGGGCTGTGTGCATAATGGCATGGCTGCTGGGGTTCAGTAATATGTGTTTCAAAACAGAAAGTGGAAGCTCCTAGCCTCTTAAACACTTGGACCTAGAAGTTTGTACATTATTTCCAACGTTACTGCTTAAAGCAGTCTGAAAGCTCTCCCTCCAGGTTATAAACCTATTTTTCTTATTTTATGCTAGGGAATCCAGGACTTTAAGCTATACCCCTGCCTAACTCCTGTCTACCTTAAAGCAAAAAAATATCAAAGAATTTGTGGCCAAACTTACTGTAATTTTGATAACAAAGTAGTGTTGGTCTCGTGTTTGGCTTTATAAGGTACATTTCTAGTGTCTTTATAACTGTATGTTCATGACAGTTAGAAAAGCATCTGTCTTTTTTTACTTGATGTAGTAGCTGTAGAAGCAGAGGAATCATTTTTGTTTCATTTTGAAGATGATGGTAAACAGAAATGGCAATGGTGTGGGTGGTTGTTGGGAGAATTTAAAGAATGTGCTCATATGATTAATAAAAAGAAAATAAGACAGCTACATTTCTATGATACTAAATTTATTAGCAGTAAATGATGAAATATTAAGCTTGTTTGGAATTCCACAATTATAACCATACTAATTCAAGTAAAACAGTACTTATGTGTAGTAAATAAAGTCATTGAGATAACTAAGCCTGTCTCTTGACTACCATTATAATTAGTTTACTAATTGTACACAACACTAAACTCTGAAAGATACCAATAGTGATATAAACCCATGTTTAGAGTGAGGTGAAATTCTTATACCATATAATGCCAATTTCAAAATAAATACTCCTGGAAAAAAGTTATAGGCATAGAAATCTTGGGGGTTCTGATTTTAATTTCTTAGTTGCATAATTTTAGAAGCAAAAATGATTTCTCATAATTTTGGTGGGTTGTAGCTTATATGGTTTATGATGGTGATTTCAGCTAGAAACAATTGTTGTATTCCTGTTTTATTGCTTCTAGTAACATACATTCTCCATGTTTATGGTTCTGTCTTGCTTATGTATAAGAATTCACCTGGAGAATTTTTAAAAATGCCCTTGTAAGCCAGGGTAGTGATGCAGAAAGATGACAAGTTTGAGCCTATTTAGTCAACTTAATGACTTAGCAAGAGCTTTTCTGAAAAATTTTACAAAAAAGGCCTGGGAATGTAGGTCAGTACAAAGTATTCAGTCTCCAGTATTAAAAAAAAAATTAGATTCTGATTTAATTGTTGAAGAGTAGGGTTTGGGTATCAGTATTTTTAAAATGTTCTTTAGGTGATTCTAATTTATAGGTAGGATTGAGAACTGTGTCGTACTTTTTGAAGACAGGTCTTGCTAAGTTGCTCGATTGACCAGGCTTAGCCAGGGCTGTAGGTGTCTACCATCACGTCCAGTTTGAAGCCATGTCTTTTGATCCATAGTACTGTAGTAAGTATGGTCTGGTTCTCTGTTTATCTGTTTTACAACTATTAAAAAAATAATGAGGTACTAGATAAAATAAATGGATTAAAATTTTATGTGTGGGTAAACATCTAGAAAACAGGTTCCTTTTGTTTGCTTTTAGGAATGGTCTTCCTTAATCAAATGAACAGATTGTGGCATGATTTGCTGGTTCCTGGGTTCTGGTACCTAGTATTCTTCGTATTCACATTATGTACTTGTCTTTCTTGGAATGAGGTAGAAAAATCCCACTGGGGGATGTTAGGTGGTGCTACATTTTTTGTATCCCTTAAAGATTTCAACACTGCACCTTGTGGGTATTCTCTAAGTGTTCACCAAATTTTAAGCCAGTTTATATAGTCATTCTTTTGAACTAGCCCTAGCTATTTGACTATGATTTTTCCCCCCTTAGCAGTCCAAGAGCTCTGTAAAATTCCTTAGAGTTCTTTTTTTGATTTCCATGATGTTACGTTTTTATTATTTTCCCTTCTAAATCTTTATTCCTGAACTGCCACCCCACCCTCACCCCAGGTACACAGTCTGGGCCCTTCCAGTAAGTTGTCCGCTGCGAAGAAACAAGAGCTCATTTCCTTGGTGATGTATTCTTAGTTACTATTATATTTTATTGATTTTTAAAATGTATTTATTGATTTTATTATTTATAATTTTTGAGACACAGGTCTTTGTCAAGCTGGCCTGGAATTCATAGGCTCACATAGTCCTCTTGCCTCAGCCTCTCAAGTAGCTAGTACTACAAGCTGTGTAACACTGTGGCTGTCTGGCTGATGTCTGTGTTTAGAAAGTATTGAGGAAGTTTCTAAATATATGGCATAAATTTAAAAAGAATTATTCTGAATCAAATCCTAGGTAACATTTGAGTGTCAAAGTTATCTCTCGAGGGTTATAATGTTAGTGCAGCTTAACAGTAATTGCTTACGCGTTCAGTATCAGGTCTCTCTGCTGCTTTTGAATGCCTATTTCCACTTTTCTTTAGATGCTTTGCTCTCAGGGTTGAGTTACCTGCTTTCCTGTAAAGGAGTCTTATTTTATCACAGACTGTTAGCAAATAGTTCCACAATTGTGTTAGTCTTTGGACCACACTCGGAGGAGCATCGTTGTAAGGGGAGATGTTTAGTCTTGTAAAAAATTGTTACCTATACTAAGAAACATAATACACTAATACACACTGTATTAGTTCACTTTCCATTACTGTAACGAGACATCTGTGTGTTTTATAAAGTGGTTTACTTAGCTCACTGTTGGAAGGTGGCCTCCAGACAGGACTCCCTCACTGCATCCCACATGGTGACACTGAGGAAGCCCACTGGACTGGAACAGATCAGGTCTGG